TTAGCAAATCCTAGGAAGGATTAGGTTTCTTTTACTAATATTAAGATTTTCTATTTAGCAACTGCTATAATCTTTTGCCTATCTATTCTGATTTTATTATATAAGATTTTATATCCTAAGTAGGTTACTTAGGACTAATAAAAGTGGCTTTTAGTAGGTTTAATAAGCATATTAGCATCTTATAGTGCCTTTAGAACCTTATAAATATATTTTATATACTCTTCTTCTATATTAGAGAAGATAAAGATATTATCTAGGTAGTAAACTACAAAGATATTAAGATATTCTCAAAGTATATTTATAATTATATATTAAAATACTACAGGTATATTAATTAATCCAAAAGGTATAACTAGGTATTTAAATAGTCTATATTTCATTTAAAAGGCTATCTTCTATTTATTACCTTCTTTAATTTAAATAAAATTATAAGCAGATTTAAGATTAAGTGCTATAAACTATTTCTTATTAAATAGGCAGTCCTTAAGTTTAGTAATAAACAGTAATGGTATTCTATTTTTATTTATAATCTCATTAAGTTATTAGTAATCCACTATAAGTCTTAGTTTATTAGAGTTAGGTTTTAGTATAAATATAACTAGATATCCTGCTAAGGATTTTAATAATCTAATATATCCTTTCTATAGTATATTATTTAACTATTCTCTAAGTATATTAAGCTTATCTTAAGATAGGTTATAAATAGGAAAGAATTTCAGGTTCTTTCTATCTTTTAGTATGATTTTAATATTATAATCTATATATTAGGGTAACTTTATATTAAGTTCTTCTTAAAACAGTTTTTTATAAATATAATACTCCGGTAGTATATTGTTAAGTTATTTATTAGATTCCTTTATAGCAATCTGTTTTATCTATTTAATATCTTAGTCTAATTATTTAAATTATCCTTTAAGAGTTATTATTATTTATCTGATATGTTTTATTCTGCCTTTATAGTACTTATATTATATTCCTTTTAGAATAGGCAATACTCTATTATGCCTATCTTCGCTGCTCTTATTAGTCGAAGTTTAAGATCTTATATTATTATTATCTAAATCAAACTTATCATCTAAAGGGTAATCTTCGCAGTTCACCTGGCTAGTTCTCTAATTAATTTATATATTATAGCATTATAACCATAGAAATCCAAGTACTAAATTATATTTCTATACCAGGATAATATTAAAGTTAATATCTTAGTTTTTTCTATTAATAAATACCTTAAGGTAATTAATCTCTCAGATAATTCTTCTATTATTATAACTATAGGTGCCTCCTTCTCTATTCTTTATGGTATAAGGTTCCTTTTTATTTCTCCATAATAGCCTTAGTTTATTAACCATTTCAGGGGAAATAAAATTTATATTAGCTCTGCTATCTATAAGTATATTTAGCCACTTATCCTTAATTCTAACTTTTAATTCTAGGCAGGTTTATTAACTTCCTTTTATAGTTATTCTTAGAGCTTTTTCTAGGAGTTTATTTTCCTCTACTTTTTCGCCTATTTGCCGCTTTATTATAGATAGTATATACCTTTTCCCTATAGGTGGTTTATACTATATTTGCTTTTAGTGCAGTTAATATCATTAGGATATTCATTTTAGGTAGTAAGTTATTATTAGTATATAGCTTCTATCTTTCCTACTTTATAATCTAGGATAATATCTGCTCTTTCTTCTTTAGTAAGAGGTCTTTCTTTTTCCTATTTTAATTCTTCTAAGCATTCTTATAGTTATTACTTATCTAGCTATTAGATAGTATCTTATTTATCTTAAGATACTTCCTCTTCTTATTATATAATATTTTAATTAATTTAATTAAGTTCTTAGTTAAGTGCTTTATCCTTAGCGATCTTGACTTCTTATTATACCTTTTGTCTCTACTATATAATATATTAGGAGTTTTAGATATATACTAGAGCTTATTCTTGTATTTTAGTATAAGCCTCTAATTTCACTACTTGCAATCCTTTATATTTCTTAGTAACTTAATATCTAACTATATTAATAATTATATATAGTTTTTATTCTTAATGCTTATTAATTTATACTAGGAAGTAATTATTTACTACTTTATCTTACTAGTGCTATAGGCAGTAATATTATATATATAATATCTATAATATCTACTTATAGTTTAGATAATTTAGGTATCTTCTTAGATCTTTTTTAATTTAAATATATTCTTCTGGTATTATAAGGTCTTTTAGTATTTCTTTTATATATACTTAAATATAGATATTATTATCTTATTCTATAATTGTATATTCTTTTGCAAGTTCTATATACTTCTAATATTTATTATCCTAGAAATAAATTCTATATTTATTATATTAAGGTATTATTTCTATATTCTAGACTATTTAATTTTCCTTATATCTAATGCATCTGGCATTAACTTCTCTCTAGACTTAACAAGAGTCTAGATAGTTTAGGTTATTAATATATCAGTTTAGTTATTTTAGTATAACTCTAATAGGAATCTCATCTACTATTAAGTAGGGCTTTTAGTTATTTCTTATAATATTAAGTTTATTATCCAGGTTAAGGTTAACTTCTTTTCCCTTTTTAACTATAAAGATAGATTTTCCTTTAGTAGAGAGTTATATTTCTGGTTTAGGTACTAATACCTATTCGAGTTTAACTTCTATATCTTGTTTTACTTTTAGTCTTTATTATTTTTATTATTTACTTTCTTTTCTCCTAAACTTAGGGTTTTCTTATCTTTTTATATTATATACTCTTTTCTTTACCTGTTTTTTGCTTTTGCTTTATTTATAAACATCTGCTATAAGAGCTGCATATCCTAGAACAGGTTATTATTTAGGGTCTAGGTATAGGTAATATTTTTCGAGGGTTTCTTCCTTACTAAGGAATAGATTATATACGTTAGTGGTAAGCCCTGGATTAGATAGGTTATATCCTGATCAGGTTATATTAATAGTTCTAATTGCCATTTAGAGTTCTTTATTCTTCTTAACTATACTAATCCTCTTATTTTTAGGAACTGGTCTATATTTCTGGTTAGTTTTAACAGGGTGCTTATATTCTGGATTATAATATCCTTTCTTACTATAGTTCTAGCAAGTAATTTTAGATTTATCTTTCTTAGTTATTCTAATAGTTATTAGTCTAGAGTCAGTGCTATAAAAAGTATTATTATTTTATTTTCTTCCTTGGTTAGCATTATATCATAGTTTATTCCCTTATTTTCCTTGGTTATTTTAATTATAATAGATTCTCTATTAAAACTACATATTATTAATCTTAACTACTTATCCTATATAATCGACTAGTATCTTAGGTCTCGTTTCTTTATAGAGTTCTACTTAAACTAATTCCTTAAGTCTATTAAAGAAGAGTAATATTAATAATTCCTAGTCCTATCCTAGTTTAGTAGCTAGTTAGAGGAATTCTATTTTATACTCCGAGGCTAACTTATTTTATTAAAGTGTTTTAATTTTTCATTCTGCCTGGCTTTTCTTATTAATTAATCCAAAGGCTTATTATAAGGCTTCCTTAAATACCATATAGCTTTTATAGATCTAAAAAGTTTATAGTAGCAGTTTATATTCTAGTTTAGTAGTTATATCTTCTAATATAGGTTAAAACCACTAGGCTATATTGCCTTTAAGTTATCCTAAAGTGTATATAACTCGGTTACCGTCTTTATTAAACTAATTCAGGAAGTAGCTTATAAAGGCTTAGCACTAAGTAAGAAATATAGCTAGTTTCACTAGATTCCTATTAAATAGTTCAGGTATATTAGGTTTAAGGATTTCTCCTACTTCTTTTCTGCTTATAGCAGTGGCAGCAAGATAGCGCATTTCCTAGATCGCATTCTGGTAGTTAGTGGCCTACTAAGCCTAGAGTATGGCAGCTTCAGCTAGAGCCTATCTAAGGTTATCTATTTTAGTTATTATATTAGTTATCTGCTAATAAAGCTAGGCAATATCAGAGTCAGTGCTACTCTTAGAGTTATTATTTATATCCTGGTTATTATTAATAGGTGCTAAAGTAGCATATAATACAGCATATTACTAGACAGGATTAACATGGGCAGCCATTATATTTATATTACTTAGCATTATATAGTACAGTCTAAACAAGAGCTATCAACATATAACAGGTTAGTTCCTAACTGTAGATAAACTAAGCCGTGCTAGGTTTATTATTAGCAGATTACATAGGGCATAATACTAAGCTTATTAAAGTATTATATCTCTTAATAGTAGATTTAATATATATTAGGCTTAATTAATATAAAGAAGTTTTATTAATAGCTAGTAAGCTAGAATCTATAAAAGTGCAAATAAATATAGTCTATATACTAGATATGGTTCTATGGGAGCGATGCAGTGTAAGGTCGCCGTTAGTCCTAGAGTAACGCGGTCCTGGAACGCTGTTGGTCCTGTAAGTGTTAGTCCTTTCCTGATTGGTGGGTTGAGTAGAGAAAATTATAGGGTACATGTGATATAACCGCTGGGATTATAAAACTTAAGGCTTAGTTATTTATTTATTTATTTATTTTAGTTTATTATAATAACCTAATTATATAAGAGGTTATATTCTTAGTATTAATTTATAAAGTAATATAAATTAATTATAAGTAATTTTATAAAAGTAAGCTAACTCTGCAGACTAATTTATATATATAATTCTGGCAGGATTGCCTATAAATAGCACCTATGATCCTAAGCTGGTAAGCAACACGTCGAGCTGAACTAAATTGCCAACGGTAGTGATGACGGAAAGTGTATCTTGATTATATTGGTGGGAACCACACGCAGATTCTGCTGTTTCTATCGCTATGCTTTCGCCAGATTCTAAGCTATCCAACATCCCGCTATGGCTAGTCATCTAACTTTAAAGGCTCATCTGAAAATGGAATATCTAACACAGATGTACTCCAGTTCAAAACATTAGAATCTTTGTCGTCGGATGGTGATTTATAGGAGCGAAAGAGCTGAGAATGCCCTGCCACATGATCATCGTTTAGGACAACTCGCCTCCCTTTCGTTTGACTGCCCGGTGGTTGAGAGAAGGGAAATCGATGGAAACTTGCTCAACTTGAAGCCTGATATCCTCAAGGATGTCAACCAAAGGAATGACATAACTACACGAGAGCATGTCTGTCGCAACAAGGTGGCCGTAAACTTCCAATGTCGCAGCGTCAACTACCCAGGATCCAGAATCCCCTGGTCCTATGTCTATAATTTTATTAGTTCCTATACTAAAGTGCGCTCTTGTATACTCACCTGTGCTTTTACTAAGCTCCACAGTATACGCTCTTACAAACTCGGTCCCAGGCTGGAGAAGTATTTGGCTCAGACCAGCCGAGATGGTTGCTTCTTTCGTCCCAGAGAATCCTGTTTTGATGTATACTGATCGACTGATCGGAATACCGAGCAGAGAAGAGGGTATCTTGAGCAGAGCTGGAGGTTTTCCGTCGGCCACCAGCATGTTGGGCTTCAATGGGACCTCCCATGTCGGAAACTTAAACAATGCCCAATCTCGACAGGATCCGGTGTTACTCAGAGATGAGTATGCTATAGGTTGCGCGAAGACGGAACCTGATAGAGATGGATGTGGGATAGCTGGTCTCGCTTTTTGGTCCGCTTCAATCGATACGCCCCAGTCAACTTGCAGAGGTGAGGCCGGATATGAAGCATCGCTTTCGGAAGAGCTGTTCAAAGAACTGTCATCGCAGTCATCGCTGTCGTTATCCGACATGGAAAAATCTTCGTCATCGTCACCATCGCTATTTGTCTGGGAATATATTGCATGGGCAACGGTCAAACCATAGACACGATATGAGCTGTGTATCCACCGTGGCGCATCGAATTGCAGGACGCCGCCCATTGTTGCCATGGCGCTCTCTTTACGGAAGCCTTGAGTAGTGATGGAAATTGGCATTCCACAGTGAGTGTAGGTAAGGCTTTCTGAACTTGGAATGCCGACTTCAACACTGGATCGCGTGCTTGGTGATGCACCAAAGATATGCACGTCAAACGAGGACATGGCACTGTCGTTGGGCTGATAGAGGTCCTTCACAAACGACTTGCGTAAGAATTTTCGAATTGTATCATGCGCACCATCCTCGTCGGAGCAGAAGATGACGAGGGAGGCTTTGGCATCCTCGATAGTTGTTCCAAGCATGACGGCTCTTATCGACATTGCAGGCAGTTGTCGCTTTGATCTTGACAAGTATTTCCGTTTTTTTGACTTGAGCATACACTCTGCCAAAAGCCCGCTTATTTGTTCAATTACGTCGCTAGCACGCCTCGCAGTTTGTTCGTCAATTGGCTTTGCGATAGGCCGAATTGGGGCCCGTTGCATTTCAGCATCGTTGGGAGTGGTAGGCTGAGGGCGAGGACGAGGACGAGGACGAGAACAAGACAAGGTCAATCCATCACCACGACCAGATTGACTTTCGGAATTCGATCCATGGCTCGGATTCCTGGATCCACCATATCCTGAATCTTGGTCGGTATGGATATCCTCATCCATACGACAATCTGGTCGCGGATCATCCATCCAAAGATTGGTTTAATAACTCAAAGTGACATTGGTGAAACGGTGGGACGGTGATGAATGAAAACAGGGAGCAGACGTGCGTCAGATCAGATGCGGAGCTGAAAATAGCGGCCGTGGCGCATAACGAGGCAGACTCGATAAGTGCTGACGACCAATAATGAGGCCTCTAGACTTGCAACGCCCAAGCCACACTGCATAGGGCCCCGTATATTGCATCTTAATGAAAACTAGGCTCTTAGCCTTAAAAGACACTTGAATTGGTTTTTAGCCATTCTGTTGTGCTTTTCTTTTGTATCCATCAACATATTTGGACTTCCCATAAACTCATCCATGTTTGACCTTCCCTCACCTTATCCTCTCAAAGATCTCACCGACCAGGATCTTCAAAATCTTGTTGTAGTGTTATGGAACTGGAAACTATGCGACAATTGCAAAGTCGGGCCAGGACAGCAACCGTGCTCTCCACAAATATGTCCTGGGGTACGCTGGAGTAGAATGAGGTTGTTCTTTGACTATTATCGGAAAATCACTGCCGACTATGTTCCCGACATGGTTGTTGGAGCCCCTCCAGCGCTACAAAGCCACACAGATCTAATGTCCATCATCCGCCTACTGAAAGACAACTCGGATAAAAAGAGGTCTGAGCTGACAGCTATCTGTTTCTCCAATCGAAGCACTGATCAAATGCCCATGCCTACGGACCAAAACAGGGCGTTGGATCTCGCTCTGAGAGTCATGACAATGGTAACCTGTTCCCTTGAAGCGAGATCGGCAGATACGCTTGAGGCAGGTCTACAGCCCGCTCCATGGGCGCATGATATGACGTGGCCTCAGTTTATGTCGAGCGTGTTTCCAACCACTGAATATTCTGGATTGGAAGAGGGTGCTGCCACCTTCCACCAAATAAACGATAGAGTAACTGCGCGAAGACTCTCCAAGGTGGCTAGACTTTGCTTTGTTCCAACGAACGAGTTATCGAATCATCTTAAGTTGAACCAAAAAGATGGGACGGTGGAACTCTTTCATCACACATCATTTCTGAAAGAGGTTCTTATCGCCAGTCAGGTGGACGCGAAGTCAGTATCTCAATCTCTAAAAACGCATTTGCGCCTGACCTTGCTAACACCGGCTCAACAAGGAGCTATATTTCTCGAAGGATCGCCATGGAAGTCCTGAATTCAATTCAGAGAACTTTATTCCCTTCGACAGCAGATGCCACGATCTTGCTTCGCTCACTAATCTCGAAACACAACCTAGATGCAGATTGTCTCAGATACGAGCCTTCGACGTACCAAGTCGCAGGGGAGACCTCCTCTGGATATCGCTACCTTGAACAAAGACTAGTCGAACTCTATGAGGAGCTTGACAACCCAACACCCCGAGGGTATTTGGAGAAGTGGCTGGAAAGGAAAAGCGGTGCTCGGTATGTCATGATGGTGACACTGGCAGGTGTGGCTATTGCAATAATACTGGGTGCACTAGCGTTGGCTGTGTCTATATTTCAGGCTTGGGTTGGCTGGCAGCAGTGGAAGCATCCTGTTGCAGGTTGATTAGTTCGTTTGAGACGGATCTGGAAGATGTTTCGGGGATAGAACCATGTTCACCACTCCAGCACAGGAAGCGCTGCAGCAGGCACAGTAGGTATTTGGTAAGAAGGTCGAAAGTAACAACATTTAGGACACGATTCTGACTGCAGGATGTTAGGGTTTGGATTAGGGTAAGGCTACATTATTTAAGCTCTGTTTGCCTAGGGGTTTTCCTCCAACTATAGTATAGCTATAAAGAGAGGTAGAGATATAAAGAGATAAAGAAAGTAAGGAGGAATAATAGAAAGCTTTAAGTCTTAAAAAAACAGCTACTTTCCTAGCTAAAAGAGACCTAGACATAGCAAAAAGTGGTTTTTATGAAAGGCATACTTGTAACGCCGGCCGGCCCCACCGACTTTAATTATTAATTTACTCCGGAGTAAATAGCAGCTATAATAGCAGAGCTATAGGCCGGTAATCTTGAGGGAAGTTGCAAATAACTTCTCAATAACTCAAGGGACAATCTCAAAGATAAAACAACAATAGGAACAACACTGTAACCTTGCCTCACAGCTATTGAAACAGGCATCCTAGGAAACTTATATCTCTGCAGATTATTAGGATTAATTTATATATTAATCGGCATTATAAGATTGCCTAAAATAATATTTTATATAAACTAGAATTAGATACCTTTATTTATACTTTAAAGTATTATTTATAGAGCTATTCGTATTATAAATAGAGGTTAAAAAGATATATTAAATTATTAAAAGAATATATAAGAAAAAGGCATAAATACTATAGGTTTTAGCTTTAATATTTTAATAATTATATATATATAAATAAATTAAAAATAAAGCTATTTTAATTAACCTTTTTATATAGATTTACTTTAGTAATAAAATTACTATATAAAATACCTTAAATAACCCTAACAGCTAAATCTTTTACTAGCTTAACAAGAAATACTATAAAAACCTAGTTAATATTCAATTTTATAAAAAAGCTTATTAATTAATTATATTCTAGGGAGGTATTATTAGAAGGTAAAGGACTTATCTTATCCCTATAATAAGGGATAAGACCTCCAAAAAAGAAGGTTATTTTAGCTGGTCTTATTATAAAGCCCTAATAAAAGGTCTTCTTCCTTTTATTAATAATATTAATAATTCTTTTTAAGATAATACTTATATATATATATATTACTAAAGCTATGAGGGATTAATTACTTTTATATAGGTTTATTTCAATTAATTACCTTATACATTCCCCTAATTTAAATCTAATTAAATATATCTATTAATAATACACTTAGTATAGCTTAATTTATTTATAATTAAAAAACCCTATTATTATATTAATATACTAATTATAATAATTAAAAGTTATTAATAACTCTACTTAATTTTAGTTAAATAAAGTAAAATATACTAAGATCTAAACTAGCTAGCCTCCTAACTGCTAAATTTAAAATACTATTTTATATATAAATTTCTCTTTATTTTATTTCTTTTATTCTTAATCTACAAAAAGTAAAATTTCTTTACATTCTTATACTATGCCTCTTAAAGTCTTATAGCCATGCCTTTAAACATTCTATAATAAATAATAAGTAAAGTAACGTGGTTGATAAGCATGCTGACCGGACAAGTATGCTGACCAAAAATCCCTCATCTTACATCATTACTATCTGATCAAATACTATACAACAACCCAGTATGCCACAATCTTCAAATGAAGCTAGAATCCTTCTTGCCCTTCAGGCCCTTCAAAATAACCCAAAGCTAGGAATCCGACGCGCTGCAAGTA